GCTGGTGTTTCGGTCGACTGGGGTCAGCGGGGCAGCAGCTCAGAGATGTTTGTTCATGCGGGTCCTGCCGGCGGGATCGCGACTGCTGAACAGATCGATATCATCTCCCGGTGACCGATCACAGCAGATCAATCGGTGGCATGGGATCAGTGACTGGCTGAAATGTCACCAGCCCCATAATTAAGACCTTCATTAAGCCACGGTTAACAGAGTGTCACTCTGTTGCTCTCACCTCGACTTGTCCCTCCTTCTTGGCTTGCACCTCCCCCACCGCCCTCCTTTGCTCCATATGCTCCTTTCTGTTCCCTTCAATCCCTCCCAATCCTGCCCTTCTCCCCTTTCTGCCCTTTCTTGTTCATTCTTTGTCTTAGTTTCATTCAGTACCTCTTTTCACCGTTTTCATGCTCCATACATTTGAAGGGCAAGCTTGTAAAGGGACTGACGTGTGCACAATTTCACACAGAGCTTTAGTTAAATGGGACAATAGAGAGGTGAAGGAGAAATGGCATTTCAGCAGCTTGGCTCTTAATGAATTATGAAAAGGTTAGCTAATTCATGTCAATGTTGGGTGGTCTCCTCGTTTCCTCTTATTTGTTTTTACGGCTATCTTTCCATCCATCTCTGCCTCTCCGTCGGGCTCAGAAACTCTCTGTGTTCTGCTGCTGTGTGCTCCTTTAATCCAGATTAGCTGGCGAGTGTTCTTAATCTTATCACTTCCCCAATCCTGCGTGGGTGTGTGCTTTTCCTGTTTTTTTTTTTTTCTTTTTGTGTGGGGTCCACGGCAGGATTAGAGCAGATTCTGAGAGAGAGAGAGAGAGAAAGAGAGGGGCGGGGAGAGGAAGAGGGAGCTGTATGACACTGCAAATGTAATATGACACATATCTGTGTCAGCTGTGGTCTGCAAGGGGAAGTGGGAAGAGAAAATATACAGGAGAAGTGTACAAAACATGCATCTTTATATACGTCAATAGTAATTATTTTGCATGACGAATAACTTAAGGATTGTATTTTGTGAAAATGACAGAAAAGTCATTTATGTTTTTGAGTAAATGTCATGCTGAAAACAGTTAATGGCATTTGTTTCCAAATGTTTTTCTCCATTTAACTGTTTGCATGTTGACCCGTTTCTGTTCTGCTTCTCTTTGTAGATGAACCGCCCGATCCAGGTGAAGCCGGCGGACAGCGAGAGCAGAGGGGGTAAGGGTTACCTGTCCCCACTCAGAAACCCATCGCCTAAAAATACAAACACTAGCAAGTCAGTTAGCAGGTTAAACATAAGCAAAATATATTATTGCACAGCAAAAATCAGATATACAAATGAAAAGACCAGTGCAAAATGATCAGTTTCTCTGATTTTACTCTTTATAGGTTTATGTTTGAGTAAAATTAACTTTGTTCTTTTATTCTATGAACTACTGATAACATGTCTCTGAAATTCCAAGCAAAAATTTTGTATTTATTAGCAGAAAATCTAAAAAGATCGAATAATTAAAAAAAAGAACAAGCTCATATTCATTTAGAAGCAACAATACTAATGTTTTAACTCAGTTCAGAAATCAGTATTAGGTGGAATAACCAGGAGGTTTTCAAAGGGGTTCACTGCAGTGGGTGCTTCATTTTTTCCCAGAGCTGGACACGTAAAATGTTCACATTTTGTTTACTTTGTATCATGGTATCGAGGTATTTACACCAACATTTTAAACAGAAACATATAATCTGATCTCACTGCTTTGATTTAAAACAGAAAAGCAACAATTGTTGCTACGACACTTTAATTAAAATTACATTTATTTACAAATTAGATTTGTCAAAAAAAAACTGAATTAAGAAGCAACATAGAACAAATCTGTTAAATCTAGTTATTTTAATAGATTTCACTCTTTCGGTTTCCTTTTAACGAGCATCATGGTGCTGCACCTCTCTCACATGTTGCTGTGCACTGCCAGTCAGCTGGCTGAAACAGGCTGCTACACTTTTCCTCCAGTCTTTATTGGTATCAGATTGAGTTAAATTTGATGTGTTGCATTTTAGCTGAAAGATAAAGCTAATTTTTATAATTGCTTTTACCTTCACTAATTTCTCATTTTCATCTGAAGAAAATCAATTTCAAAGCATGACTCTGCCACCGCTGTGCTTGTCTGTGGATTTCGGATTTTGAGTTTTTTGGGCGGATGAACAGTGGCGCTTTTACTCAAAACCTTTTAGAATTAAGGCCAAAAAGTTCACCTCTGTACATGGTTTAACGAGGCTATAAATGTTTGATACTTAGCCAGTTTTGTTTCTTAGAAGGCCGTTTTTATTGTCGTCACATGCAGTTCGTGTTGTGAGATTCCCGCAGCGCCTTTAAGTTACTGTAAGCGTCTTGAATTATAAGATTCGTGAGTTATAAAATTGTGGTTAACTCTTAACTCTGCATCCCCAGTTAGAAAAAAATAATACAGCCACATTATTTTTCATTTCTGATATTTGTTTTACACCTAAATAAATCGTTTTTAGTTGTTGTTTTTTTACTTCACGATTCTTATTTATCTGGACCTCATTTTTAACTTTACAAAAATCATATTATCAGAAGTAACATATATTATCAAACCAGTTCAGTTCATTTCACTCACAGCAAACAAAGTTTTATCAAATTCTGCAGTGGAGCATCAAATTAAAACCTAATTTAAAGACCAGCAGGAAAACATGTAAGAAATGCATGTATTTACGTCAATCAATCAACTCAGTCATTTGTGTTTCAGCAACAAGGCAGTTCAAAGTGCTTTACATCATAAAAACACAAAAATCAACAATTGAAACTTTACATTTTGCTAAATGCTGTCGTTACACATCAAAGTGTTGGTTAGTGTTTCGTTTATTACGGTTTAAAAGCATCTCTTGACAGTTGCTGGTCTAGATTTAAGGGAACTCAGAGTTCAGTTTGTACAATCAGCACATTTTTGTATTAAGAAGTGGCAACAATTTAGCATGAATGTCAGCTCACAGTTTGAGTTGCAGGTCTTATATCTTGAAAGTGTTGCTATGTTTGCGCATCAGGCTCGTTCTGTCGGAGATGACTTTGATGTGCTTTAAATGCAGAGATGTTGAATTTCACTCCCAATATGAGCAATGTTGATTAATGCTAATCTAGATGTTAAATAAGATCTATTTAACATCTTAAACATTTCTTTTAAAGTCTTTTCGTCAGTATTGTTCAGTGAAGGAGCAACATGGTCGTGTTGTGACGGTTGCTCCTCAGAAAGGCGTGCAGCAGTCGCTCCAGGTCTCAGAGTGATATATATGCACACATGTTCCTTCTGATCTCAGCGGGTTAATGAGGCCTTCACAGATGTGCAAGTTGAAGGTGCCAAGTTTTGTAAAGTAGCCCATAACATCACAGATGCTGGCTTTTGACCTCTTTGCTGAAAACGTGCGAGACGCTCGTTCTCCTCAGTGGTCAGCAGAAGTCATGGCACAGCAGCTTTTCTGAACTTGCATCTTTTTTTTTTTCACTTAAACCTTCTTCACTTTTTAAGAAATAATATGGTTCTGCCCGTTTCAATGCATCTTTGTAAAATATTCAGAGACCCTTCCTTGTTTTGAATCTAAAGAAAAGCATTTATGATTCCAAAGGTTAGATTATTTTTGTGTGGCAGTCTGGCTGAAATATTATGTCAAAATAGTTTTGGGCTTTTAATGCTTCATTTGAACAGTTTTTGTTGGAGGCAGACTGATGTTACAGCCTGCTACTTTAATGAACTTTTAAAACCAGATTTGGCTCCAAAAGTGTAAAATTCCTTTGAATTTTTCACAAGATCCATACAGGATCAAAATTATACTTACTGTATGCAAATAACCATTGAAAAATACCAGAAACCTTTAACTAATGAAGTAAGAATAATGAACAATTAGACAACCAGAATAACAATGTCCCAGGGATTCATAATTCTGGCTGGATATTTGATCATTTCTATTAACAGAAATGTTTGTTGTTTCACTGATTCGTTTTTGAGCATAAAGTCCATAGTTTTAGGTTTGTGGTTAGCACCACTCCAGTCAGTGTCTTATAATCCCATCCACTTTGTGCAATGCACCAGTTGCACTGGCAGAACCTCCCCCCGCACCCCCACAAAAAAAACAAAAAACAAACAAACAAACAAAAACAGGACCACAGCATAATGCTGCCACCACCAGGCTTGACAGTTTACGGTGTTTTTACGTTTTGAAAGTCTAACCTTGTATCCTCCAAATATACTTCTGTATATTTTGTCTCATCTGACCATAAAACTGTAATTTGTGATCTTTTGTTTTGCTTTTCTGTTAAGCTTATTTTGTTTGCATACGACTTTGTTTCTGTTTTTATTACACGACATTCCATAAAGTCAAGTTAAGCTTTAGCTTCTTTACTAGTAGGCATTTAGCCTCTCACTCTAAGCTGACGTTAAACTATCTTCGCTTTGATCGTTGACATTAGTTGAAACTTGTACACTGGTGTTATTTTTGTATGTATAAATTACCAAATAAAGGCAGTTCCCATCAATATGATGAACTTATGCAATCTAACCAGAGCAATATAATTATTTACTGCAATGGATCATTTTAAGATCATTGGTTTCATTCTTGTGTTTACATTTAACACATCATCTTAATCTTTTTAGACGAGGGAGCACACTGTTTTAGTAGATTAGTATCAGCAGGCTGTTTAATTATCATGCATTTTAACTTAATGGAGACACATTTGCTTTATTTAACGTAACACTAGATATTATTTTCTAATTAAGACAATTGGCAATAATGAAGCAGTGGGAAGCCCCCAAACCCCAAAACTGCCAAATTTAAAACCAGCGCTTAATAGAAAACATGAATTTCACCACGTATTTGTCTTCTTACATTGATTATCTGACTGAGGTTTGAAAAAAAAAAATCTGGTAAGCCTCATTATCTGGCATTTAAACTCTTCCCACCCAAAGCTCCACGCAGGCAGGTGTTTCTAATCAAACCACATTTTCATCTGCAGCCTCGCTGACATTTAAAGCTGTATGTAAATGAGCGACACACACTGACATCAGCTCCGTGTGACTGATTGTATCTGGAGCTCTCCTAATGTCTCAGTGTGCAGGAGAATAATGTGGAGGAATGTAAAAAAAAAAAACAAAAAAAAAACGTGGCGATTTGCTGTGGACGGACTCCAACATTCAGATACATTTCTGGTTTGATCCTTCAGTGACAGACGGAGCCGCTTCTCAGTGGGTGACAAACATTTGAGTCATGGCCAGATGCTGTTTGTTTGCCGAGCTGCTCTCGTTACTGCACTCTGGTGGCGATCTGGGGCATTGCGTCCTCGGTTCTGCTTTTTCCATTTATGTATCTTGTAATAATCTCATAAAACATCTTCTCCTCTCTTCTTAATCCCACATGCGCCTTCCTGCTTCGTCCCCTCCAATCTTGGCGACCTCCTTCCCCTCAGAAGACAGGAAGCTGTTTGTGGGCATGCTGGGAAAACAGCAGACGGATGCTGATGTCAGGAAAATGTTCGAGCCGTTCGGCAGCATAGAGGAGTGCACGGTGCTGCGTGGGCCTGATGGGACCAGCAAAGGTAACTGCAACATTGAAAACCAAACGGGACACTTAGAAATAAAGACACTTCAATCTAATATGCTTTGCTTTAAATATAATAAGTTGAAATGCTCTCTCTGTCTCTTCATGAACTTTTAAAAAAACAAGTTTTACACGTCTGACAAGATTTCTGCAGGAAAATGGAGCATTGCTTTGTCTCAGCAATACTTCCTCAGTTCGTTCAGTCTGACAAATGAACATTTAAGGATAAAATGAATAATCCAGTTGTTTTTATTTATACAGATGTACGCCAAATTAGGAACTGTTGTGTTCAATGATACTAAATATTTATATTTGCACTCGTTCACCCTTTTGTAGCAGCGTTTTGTAAAACCAGATATTTATAAACTGTGTATATTCCTATTTTTGTTATTGTGATAAACACCGAAAAAAGTATTGTGATCAATATTTTGTCAAACTCATGACGTCACCATGCCGCCTTAGAGTTATGCAGTGCTACAAAATAATTATTTTTAACAAAATTACTGGTCCCTCAATCAGTGGCACCTCTAATAAATAAAGGTAAATAAAACTTTTTAATTTATACTGATCTTTTTCAGCTTGATCAAATTGTGAACCCTTATAATAGGAATCAATAACTCCTATTTTTTATTGGGGTTAAATTTCCGGTTCTTTAATTATGTGAAACTGACCTTTGTGTCACATCATATTGACAATATTCAGATAATAAAATTTCAGCAACCACAGCAATAATTAAACATTTTGATCCGTGGTTATCTTAAAAAACGTAGAAAACAAGACGTTTTTCCTCATGTTGTAAGTGAAAATTGTCTGACAGTAGAAGTAGTATTTTAATCAGTATTCAGGAATTATTGACTTGAAACAAGCTGCTACATCTTGCTGAAATGTTGCTTGTAAATTAGTTTTGTCTTGTTTCATGAAACTAGACAAAATTACTTGGTAAGATTTTGTGTTTTTGCAGTTCAGGAGGAAAAAGTTCACCGAGTTCACATAACTAGTTATTAACTTCTATGGCTTTTATATCCTTACCAGGGGGACCATTGAATCTGCAGAGTAGTTGTGTTTCTGCTCAAATCAGTCGAATTTTCTCTTTGGTTCGGGGAGAGTTTAACTACATGAGAGTCAAATTGAAAGATTGATGTTTGTAAATGTAGGATGTAAGCAACAAAATTTCCAGCGACTTTCTAACAAAATGTGTGTTTAACTCCAGGTTATTCAGACCGGCCTCTGGGCCAGGAATGTGGAAGTGGTATTGACTTTGTTCAACTGTTTGTAACCCCTGAGGCACATTACCTTCCTCTTGGTATAAATGACTATTGTCACTAACAACAATGCTAATGATATTTGCCGTGTAAATCAAAGTCCGGCGACAGCTCCGACACAGATGCTAGATTTTTCTCCGTTTGTTGCATGAGGCATGACTAATGAGCCTATAGGTTTTATGGGTCATGGCTAATGATGCGTTAGGTGGTTTACGGGGTTATGATTGATGAAGCAATGAATGTTCTGCAGACCGTGTTTAACGACGCCACGGTTACTGATGGAGCGCTGGATGTAAGACGGCTCCTAATGTATTTTTAAAGGGAAGCAGTTTTGCGATCCTTATGCGTGTGTGTGAGTTTGTGTTCACCGGTGTGTCGTTTCGTGCAGGGTGTGCGTTTGTAAAGTTCCAGAGCAACGCAGAAGCCCAGGCCGCCATCAACGCTCTGCACGGGAGTCGCACCTTACCTGTAAGTTCCCAGCAAATACACTCGGTATATATCAGAGCGACCCACTCCTTTTAGATGTGCTACATGGTTGACTCACCACTTATAATTACTCTCCCGCTCATCACAAACAGAAAGAAATGAAGCACGTTTTAGCCATCATGTGCTCTGTTGATAATTTAGTTGTATTTGATTGAAATTGTTTATGCAAAGAATGACAATGTGCACTGCTAAGCATGCACCAAAAAGTTGCAATGTCAGATTGTTGACTGAAAAAGATTCAGAAGGAAAGAAAGAAACAAAACAGAAGAATTTGATGCAATAAGGAACTTTCGTCTGCCGCATGCAAATGATGAGCAAAAGTGAACGAGAAATCATTTCACTGCGGCAAACCTCCACCAGAGGATTTTGTAAAAACCATTCCTCTCGTATTTCAAAACGTTTAAAAGCGGCAAAACATTAATGTTACTTTTCTGCTCGTGCAATAAAAGCGATCCAGGCAACACCTGCCACTCAACCCGTTTAAAGGTCAAACTCGGTTCATGCTGCAGACAAGCAGCTAAGTGATTGAATATAATTCAGTGATTATATATCTATATGTATTTTTTTAGCAATTGTAGCTCCTGAAAGTCACATTACTAACCCAGTAATATCAAATACTGCTTTAACTTGTTAATTAGTGACATTAATTATAATTTCCATGTCAGTATTTTCTGAATCTGCCTTAATTTGCCTACTGTACAACTGGTTCTACGTCAAGGTCCGGTGTGATTTTTTGGGTATAACTATGAGTAAAAATACCCTGACATCATGACAATAACATATTTTAAAATAGTCTTAAAATATAAACTACTAGAGCTTTGATAATCTAAACCATTTATTTATTTTTATCCATATTTTTGTGCACACACACAACACATACACGCAGTTTGTTCACTGCAAAAGTACAAAATCTTACCAAGTATTTTTGTTTAGTTTCTGGTGCAAATATCTTAGTATGCTTGAGACAGGACAAAACTAACTTTTAAGCAAGAAATATGAGCTTATTTTAAGTAAATAATTCCTTAATATTGATGAAATTGTGCCAGCTATTTAAAGAAGACGTTTTAATTTACAATCTGGGATAAACTAGCAGATTATTTCACTTATTACTAGTACCTTTTTTTGTCAATATTAAGGAAGTATTGACTTAAAATAAGCCCATATTTCTTGCTGAAAAGTTAGTTTTGTCTTATTTCACATATACCAAGATATTTGCACAAGAAACCAGGCTGAAAATACTTGATACGATTTTCTGTTTTTCCCGTGTTTAAAATTTTATTCAGGCAATAAAAGTCTGTAAATTTCAGAAAAATAAATTTTTAAAAACAAAAAAAATTTAAAAAAAAAAAAAAAAAAGACAAAAGAAAATTTATGTAAATTAAAATCTGTGGATTGTAATGAACTGCTGACATTATGAGAGGAATCTATTGTCATAGATTTTTTTTTTTTTGTCAATGCAACTGATTTAGAGAGGAGAGCGTCATCAGGGTACGATAAGACATACATTTTACTTATTGAACTCTCACTGCTCTGTTGCCTACGTCTTCATCTGCATTCTGTATTTATTGCACTTATTTGGAAGGAAAATGAAGATTCATAGCAGCTTGATAATTACACGCCCGTAATATTGACTGACTCTGCAGATGTTGTGCATTCGTTTCACAAAACCAACCTACAATTTCTGTCGCCTTTTAATAATATTCAGATGATCACATGATGTTAAAAGTCTCTGTTTTATTCTCACTGGATGAGTTTTTAGCTGTGAGAGATCCATGTGTTTTTTTTTTTTGTTTTTTTTTATGACTCTTTCTCAGGGCGCCTCGTCCAGCCTGGTGGTCAAGTTTGCCGATTCGGAGAAGGAGCGGGGACTGAGGCGGATGCAGCAAGTGGCCTCTCAGCTGGGGGTCATCAGTCCCATGACCCTGCACCTCGGGGCTTACAACGCCTACACACAGGCCGTGAGCAACACACACACACACACACACTGCGCGCAAAATCATCCCTAACGCAATCTAAGTTTTAGTTCTGGTTCTCTTTCCTTCGTTCTCCGTCTTCTGTCTTTTCCTGCCGGATGACGAAGCCATGTTTGATTGTACAGAGAATAAGCAGAGGCAGCTCCTTGATTTGTGAACGTGCTTATAACCCGACAGACGGACTAATGGGGAAACATCCTGTCTAACTTTAGCCCTCTGAGTGCATGCTAATTGCTTGTTAGGGGCATTTGCATGGTAAATAGGAGTTTGTAAGTGGATCAGAAATATAAAGCTCTGCCCTCACTAATGTTTGTTTTATTTAAAACAAAAGAAAAACATATAAGTGGACAATCTACTGAACACAATATAGCCGTGCTTCCATTTATTCTGACGTAACTTGATTATTCTGAAGTATCAGTTTTCCCCCCCTGCTTGTTTGTTGTTTGTGCTTCATCTGCGGTTCTGGTTCAGTAAGTTATGTTACTGACTGAGCAGGTTGTTCCTTCTCAATTCTGTTTGTGTCAGGAATATTAAAAAAATAATAATAATAACACAAAGAGGTTCACTACATCCACCATCTGTACCTGTTGCTCTGTTAAGTTCCCGTTTGTTTGGAAACATTTAAACTGAGTCGCTCAAGGAGTTTAAGCTTAAGGATTTTTTTAAAAGAAGTTACATGACTGATCTGTGCTTCCTAAAACTCTTGAAAACTGAGGCATAATGGCACATTGCACCAATCTGATGGCTGAATAACCTGATTAAAAACTCTAAATATCTTTGTTGTTGATTTTATCTGTCTATTTATCCAATAATTTAGCAGCAAAAGCAGTTTGTGAATTAAAAATGTTGCTCATTTTGTCGATAATATGGTTCTAGATTAAAATGCAATTAATTTCAATTAACCTGATTAAAAATTTTAATCGAGTCCTACCACTATATAAAACATTTGTATAAAAAGCTAAAGCAATTTTGCAGAAACATGTACCAGTAAATAATTTGAAATAACTTTTAGAGTCAGCCGTTCATGTATTTCCGGTTTCAAAGCGGTCACAGTCTAAAAACATTAGTTAAAAAAAAAAACGCAAACTTTGTGGAAATCTGAATCTGTAGTCAATATAAAATTTTTGTTGACTGTGATTTTAACTATCTTGTGTGTGTGTGAGGGAAAAAAAACATACTGAAAATGACGATCAAAGGTTAATCAAAGAGGTGACAAGTTTGGAATATTTTAAACAATGCAAGCCTTCCATATTAAAGCCATTTGTGCCAGAGAAGTAATCAGTGTTACATGAGGAACTGCATTTTTCTCCAAAGTGATCATACTCTAAAAGAGTAAGGGATCGGCTGAAGAATTTACTCTGTTCAACTCCCCAGACAGCCGAAGGAAACTGCTCTGGTTGGTGGGAAAGATTCCTGAAGTGGAAACTGGCCTTATCTGTTCCAGAAAGAGATAAAGCAAACTCTCTGGAAGGCACAGCTCATTAAATGAGATATGCTCCATTTGATTGACATGATCTCGACTAACTAGACGGTTTTTACTCGGTGAAAAACTGCAAATCGCTCTTTAAATTGGTGCAAGGCTGTGTCCACTAATTGATTGCAAATAGTTTTAGCTATGCTTCATTTACGGCTGTTTGGTTTGTGGTGTGAGGAGATGACGTGACCCTGTTTGGTTTCAGACAAATCCAGTCAAACAACCTAGAAAAATCAAATGATTGGAGGATATGATTTCAGAAAATTGTAGTATGAATATGACATGTAAACTGCGTTGATCCAGATAAATAAATTCTCATACTCTGTCAAAAATCTCTGCTGAAAGTCAAACTTTTATCAAAGCTGGGTTGCTGGGTTTGTTTGAACTACATCGTGTGTAATTTACACACTTACTGTCTAGAGACCATTCAGCCAGGTGTAGAGACCCGTCTTCTCACCCCCACTGGCCTTCATGACTGATTGAAGAATCAGAAAACGGATTGAAAAACTGGAACAGGTTACTACAGAGAGTGTTGGGTGTTTAGATGTCACCTTCAAAACATGCCGACTCCTGATTCCCAGCCAGGAGTTGGTTGGGAATATTTAAACAAGTTGTATTTTGAAGGAGGGACTCTTGAAAACATAGACATAAGATTGATGAGATTGCAAACATGTTCTTTCCTGCCTGGTTTGTTTGTTCTGTCTTCATCCCAAACCGGTGTCTGTGTTCCCCCTCCAGCTGATGCAGCAGCAGGCCTTGGTGGCTCAGTCGGCCTATCTCTCTCCTGTTGCCACGGTGGCGGCTGTTCAGATGCAGCAGCTCGCCGCGCTCAACCCCAGCAGCATCATCGCCACGCCGATTGCATCCATCACCCCGTCCTCAGGTAATGAGGGCCAGAGATGTCTGGCCCTGGCTGGCCTTAATTAGATTTCTGCTTGAAATATGAGGACAGATGCACAAGGAGAGTAGGACCCAAGAGGACGGCACATGTGTGTGTGTTTGATTTCTGCATTATTTTTGTATTGTTGTTGTCTTTGATTAGTTGTTTAACAGTTGCTATCAGAGAAATATCAACACATCACATTGTGGCGTTATTTTTTTAAAAATAAAAATCCAGAAGGAAGGATAAAACTAATGTTCTTAGCTCTAGAGAATAAAGAGAGTAAAGCAGCAGGTGCAGACGATCAACTATATTGATTAAGTGATCATCAGAAAGTCTGAGCTCTTCTCTAAAAGCAGAGGTTTTAGCAGTTTGCTGATCTGGATCGTATCGATTAAATGTTTGCTAACAGTGAGGGAGAAAAGCCGTGGAAGTGAAATCTCACAAGGTGAACAATTTGTACCATTACAGTCCGATGGAAAGTAGCTCCAGAATAATGGAAAGAAAAAGAAAATTCAGCCGTTTTAGAAAACGTATACGGTATTACAACTATTCTCAAAAATAATCCAGAGAATTTCAGTGCAAAAATAAGCCAAAAAAAAGTCCTCACAATGTTGGTTTTGTGCACATTAGACCCCAATGACCAGGACTTTAAAATGGACCTATTGTGCAAAATTCATATCTTTGTACATGAACTTGGGTTTCATCTGTTTCACTTTTTAAAAAATATGCAGCTGTCTTTTGGCAGTAAGTTGATGTCTGGATCAAAATTATTTGTTTCAAAAACCTTCTGAATATAACATGACAAGTCAGCAGGTACTACCCCTCTTCTAGCGACCCTGTTTCCTGGCAACACCAGGGAAGCGCTGCCTGTCACCTAGCATCCCAAGCAGAACTCCAGCAACTTTGGTCAGCTGGTTTTCAATGACTGCTGGAAAATGTTGACTTTTTATTCAGAAACCACTATCTGCATTCTTGTTGGTTGTGTGGGAGGCTCCACTTCTGCTTTTCAAAGACGTACAGTTGTTTAATTGCACGTGTGTTTGCAGCCATTTTCATGTGTGAGCATAAACTTTGAGTTTGGGTGGCGTGGCCAGCAGCAGCTTGTTTGGATTTAAATTGACAAGAGGCCCTAAAACACTCAATCAGAAAGGAAAACTGACCATAACAAAATCTCATAATCTAAAAATTATTTTGTGCAAAAAAAAAAAGAGTAATGAACATGTTTTGTGTAGCTTATAGACTTGTTCAAGGAAGCATAATAAGTCACCTTTTAAATGAAAAACTTTCTTTTCTTTAAACTTTTCTACAGGTACCAGCACTCCTCCCTCCATCGCGGCCACGCCCGTTCCTGCTCTGCCTCCGCCCATCGCGGTGAACAGCTACCCCTCTGTGGCAGCTCCACCCAATGGCCAGTCAGCCACAGAAACCCTCTACACTAACGGGGTTCATGCCTATCAAGGTATGGAGATAGTGGATTGGTAAATTAGCTTACAAAGCTTCATGCTGCTACTTATTAACGCTTATAGAAGCAGCACATTAGGGCTTAATTAAGATTTAACTGAATAAATCTAAGGCCCTAAATGTGATTTGGAGCATGTTGATGTGCCCTGAATAGCATTTCTGAATCATTTTGTTGTGCACTGAGCATTTGTTGACTGTGTGTTATAGCTCAGAGTCCGGTCCTGGATCCCTTGCAGCAAGCTTACACAGGCATGCAGCACTACACAGGTTAGCCCTGCAGGCTAATTCATGCTAACGACAGAGTCACAAGACACCAGTTATGTGCAGAGATGGAACTGCTGAGGATGTTTTGTTGAAGAACGACGTTGTTTAAATTTGTTGTGTCTGTTGTTCGTCTCCATCAGCCACTTACCCTGCTGCCTACAGCCTGGTGGGGCAGCCGTTCCCCCACCAGCCCACCCTGGTGGCTCAGCAGCCACAGCAGCCTCAACAGCTCCAGCAAAGAGAAGGTAAACTCAAACAGAACTATCTTAGACAAACACTGCAGTGTGTGCTTCTTTTTTTTTTTAAAAAAAAAAAAGCTTGGGTCAACAGCCATTTATCATGTTTTACATTGGTTTGTAAACCATGTTTAGATAAAGGAGGTTTGTTTTGTGTTTTTTTTTTTCACAGCTCATGATATGAGGGTAAACTTTGACTGATTCTGCTTGAATGCTGGAGTAGATATGATAATTTTGTTAAAACAAAGATGAGCACAATCTTTGACTTTTAAGTGCATGAAAATACAGACTGAACTCTTTTGACAAGTGCACCAGAAACACCTAAATGATTTAAGCTGAATTACTCTGTATATAGGTAATAACACTTCTAGAGTACACAGCAGTGTGATCACTGAGTCTTAGTCTGTGCAGTATAATGAACTGAAACCAAAAAATGATTGTTTTTCAGAGATCTGCAACCTGTGGCTCTTTAAATCATCCACAATTCATCAAAAATGCAAAAGAATTAGTTTTAAAATGTAAAGGTAAACAAAAATTCATGTAAAATGTGCAAAACATTTTAACAAAGAGTAACACTGATAGTGTAAGGAGTATTGCTTTTTTCTTTCTTTTTTTTAAAGTAACTTTTTGTCTTTTGGTTGTGAAAAATTCACTTTTTTAAAATAATTTTAAATGAATCAAATAATTTAAAATGGGACAATGTACAATATACATTAAGGTAGAGATGCATTGTCCCAGTGATATAACTACAAATGTCCCAAACATACGCTAGTATTAAAATACAACATGCAGCAATACAAAATATGAGGACAAATTTGTTTCATCCAGCTTCTGTGACTCTAAACAGATTAATTTGTTTTAGCTGGACCAACAACAAAAATGTCTCTTAGTTATAAAGTTTGTTGAACTCTGAGCTAATTGAATGCGAAGAAGTCAAATGAAAAGCATTTATTTTAAACTTTTTAAGCATTAGAACAGTTTGTTGTAATATATGAACAAATGATTGGCTTTAGTCGAAAACGTCTCTATATAAATAAGTTAATAAGAAACCAGCTGAAAATATGCACATTTATTTCAGGCTAAAGTTACTTTCTTTACATGTTAATAGTCAACACATCCAAATTCCCAGATAGATAAATATCTGAGAAATTGTATATGAGCATAAGGGGTAAAAACACTTTTTTGCCAGGTAATGCCAGATATACCTCAAAAAGAGATTTAATAAATGAAAAATTCAATTAGCTATTCATACGTCAACCCTCTTTTCTTTGCCTACAGGTCCAGAGGGGTGCAACATCTTCATCTACCACCTGCCGCAAGAGTTCACCGACTCGGAGATCCTTCAGATGTTCCTGCCCTTCGGAAATGTCATTTCTGCAAAGGTCTTTGTCGACCGAGCCACCAACCAGAGTAAATGCTTTGGTAAGTCACAAAGAACAGGGCTGGAGATAAGGGATTTTAATAAATAATGCGAACCTTTCCTGACATTTTAAGCGTCTGCGTTCCACCTCAGGTTTTGTGAGCTTTGACAACCCGTCCAGCGCGCAAACTGCCATCCAGGCCATGAACGGCTTCCAGATCGGCATGAAGAGGCTGAAGGTGCAGCTGAAGAGGCCCAAGGACGCCAACAGGCCTTACTGAAGGAGGTGAGCGACCGCAAATCAATGTCTTCGCAAAGACTGGCAGTGGCTGAGTGACAGCTGGAAATGAGAGTGGGGAGAATTAGGGATACAAAGTGGCTGTAATTTGGAGCCCACACTTCAAATACTGCAGGAAGTCAATGACAACTGAGTAGATTAACTTTAATGGTGTGGGCATCACCTTGAAAACATCTAGAGGATACCTTTGATGTGTGAAAGATGCAGAAAGTGAGATTTTCACTCTGTTTTAAATGTTCTGTCTAACCGCTGTTCTGTCACAGGGTTGAATGTTAACAGCTGTCCATCATTAATTTTTTCTTTTATTTTTGTTATTTATTGTTTTTGTGCTGTGCGACGTGCAATTTTTTCCTGCAAAAACAAACAAAAAAAAAGTTGTAAAAAAAAAACAAACACTCTCAAGACTGTACCGCCAAACGTATATCATGGAGACGTTCGTCGCTAAACCCCGCCCCCTTCCTTCTCAGAGCGTCGTAAGTTTAATGGCCTGTGTTGGTTGCTGTGGCGATATTGCCTGTGATGGTTGCCATTAGCAGTTTTGTTTAATTCTTGTTATTTTTGGGCCGTTGCCTTGATTCGCCATGCTGAACCGCATGGCGGGTTACAGTGGCGACCGTGAACTGTGTTTGGTGCGTTGTGAGTTTCCTTTTAAAATTATTTTTGTCCTGATATATTTTGATTTTATATCCTTGCAAAATACTGATTGATAAATGTCACTTTACCTAAGCATCTGTAAGTAACTGATTATCATGACATTTTTTTTTTTTGTTAAAAAAAAAACATTAGGTATCAAATATAAAGCTTTTAGATTTTCTCTCCAAACATTTTTTTTTTATTTTTTTTGGTTTTTAATAGTTTTATTTCGTCTGTCATGATTATCATTCTTACATCTCCTTTCTGTTTTAGTGTGGTAGTTGTGCTGGATTTTGTTGGTCTTGGTGTAACTTATTTCCAAGTGACTTTTTTTTTGTGCCTGAGCTTCGTTGGGTTTCCGTACGACTTAAAATGTCCTAAATGTGACCCTGTAAGGTGGTTCAGAGCTTAGTGTTTGTGTGTGAAATCAAACCTAAATGTGGTCATGTTGTTTTTTGTTTCATATATATATTTGATAGATGTGGAAAAAGCACTCCTGCTGTTCATATGAGTGTGTGGATGTGCTGTGAGGTGTTGACCTGGTTTTAGGAGGTTTCAGGTGAAGCTGTTTGGTTTCTGTGCTGCTGGCTGAAAAGCTGCATTCCTCTGTAGGAATTCTGGGGCTCCAAATGAATAAGAAATCATAAGTCATACACGCTAAAAATAGGCACCGGGTCGGTGTGAGCCTGTGATCGTATGGTGACACTGATACCACTATTTTAGGCGCTCTGAAACGTAGCAGCCATAAAGAGTATGGAAATCAATTTCTGCGTTTTCAGTGTTTGGCAAAGTGTGAAAAAAAAAAAAAAAACATTTATATTTTGCTTTATCTTCTTGTGTCCTTGCTTATGTCTCTCCATCTTTGTAGCCTTCCTCTCCCTTTTACATTTCTTTTTGCCTTCCCTTCTCCTTTTTTGTGTTCTTCCTTTCTTCATCCCTCCATCCTCACTTCGTTTTATTCTCTCTTCACTGCAAAAAAAAAAAATCTTACTAAGTAATTTTGGTCTAGTTCTTTGTCCAGTTATCTTGGTACGCTTGAAATGAAACAAAACGAAGAAGCAACTTTTCAGCAAGATATAAGAGTTTGTTTTGAGTAAATAATCCCTTAATATTGATGACAAAGTACTTGTCTTGACTTGTGGAGTATTTCACTTATAACAATATTTTTTCCCATGTTATAAGAGAAATAATCTTCCAGTGGAGCTCGTACTTCTTAATCAACATTAATGTAAAACGAGCCTTTTTATCTTTCTGAAAGGTTACGTCTGATTTTGTTTTTTGTTTTAAGCGTATTAAGATATTTGCACTAAAACTAGACCAACTTGGTAAGGTTTTAGTTTTTGCAGGCAGTGTTCAGTCCTTCATTATATTTTTCCTTGTGCGCTTCTTTCAGTTTCTTCCTCCCTCCTTTGCTCGTGTCCTTTTCTTTTTCGTTTTCACTTTCTTCTGTCATTCCTTTCTCATGTTTTTCTTTCTTTGTGTTTATCCATCCTTTTCTTCCTTTCTTGTAGCCTGCATTCATTCGTCATTTCATTTTTAGTAAATTTTGAACTTTATTTTATATTGTAAGCTTAATTCTGTGAAGTTGTGTCTGGAAAACTTTGGAATTATTGCATATAAAAAATCTGTAGAAACTCGTAGCACGTCTGAATAAATACGGGAATGCAGAATTGAAAAGACATTTGATTTCATTAATTTTTTAGTTATCTAAAAGTTTTGTTTAATTTCAAAGAGTAAATGCTGTCGTTACAATTATTTACATTTAATTGACATCCATCGTCTTTAATTTGCCAAACCTTTTCTTTCAATCTTCTATCGGTTCGATTTTATGAAATCCTTTTGTTTTTCAAGATTCTGATTTTGCTCTAAATTTACTATATTTAAATTCTGAATTGATGCGGAACAAGAACATTTAGCAGGATAAATGAGGCTCATCACAACTCCTCAGAGACTCGGCAACAACAAACTTAAGTTTAATAAGCGGTCCAGACTCCTGACATGTTAAATTTTCTACATCTTGGTTCAGGAAGAACCATTTGTTCAGATTACAACTACCCTGTATTAATTTTGTTAGCATATTCATGTGTAATATTTTTATCTTGTATGCATATAAAAGTGAAAGGATCAGTGTTTCTCAAAGGGTTTAAATATTTGTTCTGCTTTATCTACTCATGCTGCTTTAATCCTGAATTAGTCCCATGATTGGAGTGAAAACTAATCTTGTTTTTGAGACATCCTCTATCACGGACTGTTGGAGATGTTCAGTGTAAACTGATGATAACAGTACAACATAATTTGAGCTATAATAATCTATATTGGGCAATTTTCTAAACTGTGAAGAGCTGATTCCTACCAGAATTCCTACCCTGCATGTGTTGAAATAAGCTGCCTTGCTTAGGAGATGAGATGATTAAGATTGTGAGCACATTTGCAGCAGAATGACTGTCCCGTGTGTATTGCAAGATTTCTAATCTTAAAAAAAAAAAAAATACAATGATTGATTTTTGTGATTTGGTTTAACAAAATCCTCCTCCTCCTCCTTCTTCTTCTTAATTTTCAGGACAACGTAAGAAGTCAATCAAGAAAACCACTTGGGGGACGTCCCAGCCTTGTTTGGTTGTTTTGACCAACCGTATAGCACAGGAGCAACACTTCACAACAAGCAGTATCCCGTGTTTGTGCTTACAGAAACAACATTAACCGCTGTAAAGCCAGCAACAAACTCATCGACAGACTCCGCATCCACACAGTATCCGAAGTGCTCCAGAGTTCCTATCATTCCACAGCTGGATCCATTTATATTATGTATATACTCTATCGTCGGCAACAAGATATACATGTTAAGAAAAAAAAAAGCATATCAATGATGTTATTCTACTGAACAGGGTTCTAATGTATAGTGTGATTTGTGGTCTATGGCGCCAAGAAAAGGCCAGTCTACACAGTCGGCGACAGAAGAAAATACTATTCTGTATGATTGCCATTGGTAATATTGTTATGTAGAGTTAGTTTTATTAATTATAAGTAAAGTAAAAACATGGAGTGGTTAAAAGTGGAAGCGACATGGATTTCCTCTCGCTGTATATACCTTGGTTTAAAAATGGAGGACTTAAAAACTTCTCAAAGTAACACTCTCTGCTGCCACTACGTTTAAAAATAAAACAAAACGGAAGGAAGGGCTGGGAATTTTTCTATCTTGATTTTTTACGTTTAATTTATTTGGTAATCCATTCGATTGCGGGGGTGATGTGAAAGTTTCTTTCTTTTTTTATTTATGAAGAGGGGGAGGGGGAAAGAGAAGATTCCTGTGGTCTTTACAGCAATGAACACAATTATTATAGAGTTTTTAATTGCATAAATGTACCTATGGAAGTAACAAAAAAACATTTTTCTTTATTTATTCTCTACAATTGCTGTTTTAAAACATATGTCTTTAAAAGAAAATAAAGTACAATTTAGAAAAAAATATATATGTTGTGGAACTTTTATGTTTATCTTATCCCAAAGAAAAATAATTTGAGAGTATGGATAAACACATAAGTATGATTCCTTAGAGAGCTTTGGCGCCCCCTGAGGGACTGGAGAGGTATTGTGGAAATCTACATGAAATCAAAATAGGGGAACTTTGTTTGTATTCCGAAATTAAAACAGAAACATTTTATTGAATTTAGAAATATTTGCGTAAATACGTCCTCATATCTTGCCATTTAAGAAAAAAAAACTACACTTTTCTGTAATTTCGAATTGAAATATTCAGGTCAGGCACGAAGAAGACAGAAAAGGGTGAGGTGTGTGTGTGTGTAACCGCAGCTTCGGTATGCATTAAGCCTGTCTGCCACAAACCTTCTGGGTTTGGTCTCATGAGTCTACACATGCCTCGGCCTTCTTTGACATGTCCGGGTATGGCGGGTTATCTGTGCCACACAAAGCTGCTGAAGCAATGAGGGATAGCAGCAGGAAAAGGCTGCAGATTCATAATTTCCCACTATAACTTGCTGGCTTTAGTGACCTATATTAATGTATGAAATTAATATGCTGCATTTATAGCCACAAAATCCAACTCAAGATATTATACTGGCTAATTAGAGGTTTTTATGAGGCAATCTTAATGTTTTAGTTTTGATCTAATACAGGTTGTTCTTGCTCGAGAATAAACGGGGCCACATTTATTATTCAAAATGTTCTTTCATTTCTACATAAATAGATGTATGACTTAAAAATAAATACCTTTTGCAATGCAAAAACACAAACTCTTACCAAGTATTTTTGGCTAGTTTCTAGGGCAAATATCTTGAACACTTGAAATAAGACAAAACTAACTTATAAGTAACTTTTCAGCAAGATATAGGAGCTTGTTTGAAGTAAATAATTCTATAGTATTGATAAATAAAGTACTAGTTCCACTGGCAGATTATTTCACCTGTTATGTAGGAAAATAGCCTTGTTATAAGTGAAATAATCTGGTTGTGGAACTAGTGCTTTTTTTTTTTTAAATCAATATTAAGGAATTTTTAAATACAAGTACACACAGGTTCCTTTGAATCACACTTTTTAAAAACTCTTGAACTTATAGTTTTGCCCCATATGATCCAAAACAAAATGCAAAACAAATCCACACACGTCAGAAATCTATAACTTGTGAATATTGCTTTTACAAAATATAAAATTTCTGCTCTAATATTTTTCCTACACTCAGTCCAGTACATTTGGAGTAAAACTAATTCAAACACAAACCATTTTTTAGAAAAATGTTCCCCAACACAGACACAAGTCAGTGAATGCAACTAAACAAAACTGTTGATGCCTCCATACAGGGCCGGTCCAAGCCTTTTTGGGGTCCCAAGCAGATTTTCATTTGGGGTCCACCACACCAACATGTCAACAACAGATGTTTTATCACTCCAAAGCTACTCTCTGTGTCTAACATGGCTACTGTCATTAGCATTGTTTGGAATTACACCATACCAGTGTTGCTATGGCTATTGATTTTATCCTTACAGGAGCGGCAAACAAAAATCCCCAAAATATCTGGATTTTGAAATTCAGAGTGGTATTAAGTGTGTGATATTATTTTTAACTAATTGAAAGTAACATAATCCGAAGAACACTACATTTACAGTAAACAAGTTGACGAGTTTGATATTTTATATTTCCCTAAGAGTGGCAGCAGACAACAGGAAGAAGAAATTAGCATATAATTTGTGTAATAATAATAATTGAGGGGTAGGACAGAAGCAACAGCGCCCTCTAAAGGCACAGCATGGGATTTTTGCTGAATTTGGCGTAACATAGGGAGGGACTTTTCAGGCGGCACGGATTACCCCTCATACCCGGACGTCACTTTAAATAGCCTGCCTGCCTCTCTTCCATCATCTTGTACAACGAACCATAAAAATCCACTATGTCACTTGAACTCTGTGTCTGATCCGTAACAGCAACCCGCAGTCACCAAGAACCAGGTTGGGGACAAAAAAAAAAAAAAAATTTATTCCCCCCCCCCCCCACATTTATATCGACACGGGAGAAGATTTTGAGAAAGAAAGTGCGACATTTTTTATTTATTTATTTATTTATTTATTTTTTGACACAAGGAGAAAACTAAACGGATTCAGTTGCAGGACGATGTGTAACTTGGAGCTACTATAATGGCGAAATACCCATGAAATCCTCCCGGCTACGACACACAGGACGAGGAGGAGCAGAAGAAGCAGAAGCCGTGATTCCACCCCCGCCCGATGAGCACATTTTCAGCCCGCATTACCTGTCTGCACACGGCGAAGAGACGAGAGGTAAGTGCGGGGCTACGCAGCACCGTTACATGCTGGAGCATCTGTTCGACAAAATGTGCTCTACTCGGCAGTTTAAAGCTTTAAATTACAGTACACTTAATTTAGAGTGCTAATTTTAGAGTGAAACGCGAGAGTGTAGGTCCTGGAGGGTTTATAGGAAGTTTTAAACTTCGCTGACACCCCTCCACCATCTTCTGGAAGTTAACCGCTGGAAAACGTTTGCACATCAAAGTTTAGCTAGCAGGCCTCGTTTTAGCGGGGTTGTGTTGACGAAAACGGAGGGGAAAGACTGCGAGAACGTTAAAGGCAGATGATTAAAGTTCATCTCGATTCGTTAAAACACGTGAAATCGCTCTGTAATGAAGTTGGAGTCGGGTGCTAACTTTCAGCCCGATTCCTTCTGCTTGTTGTACAACTTCTAAAACATTAGCTAGAAGTGTCGCAACGCCTCGTTCTGTGCTTTTGTGCACTCATTGATCAGGAGGATGTGCACAGAGCCTCTTTTGTGTCGAGTTTGCGGCTTATTTTAAGTGTTTGGTAACTTTTTGAAAGCTCCATCCGAGAGTCAGGTAGTCTGTTCCGCTATATATCCCGGATGCGCCCCGCCTGTTGCCGCTCCCTTCCCTGGTTCACGTTAGCAACACTAGAAAAAAAAATTCGACACAGATACTTTTAAGACTGTTTATGTTTGTTTTATTTTATTTTATTAAAGCCCTTTGGGAAAAGTTTTTTTTTTTAACTTATAATGAGCAGGATCAAGTTACATTTTTTTAAAAAAATAAATAAATTTAAACTTTGACTGTGCCCATGTAAACAACCTCTGTCCAGTTTTTGTATTTTTGGGTGAAACCTTAATTTTACATTTTTAAAGTTTTAAAAATGTTGTAAACATCGACTGATCAACTACTTTTGTTAGTGTTTTCATGGCCGGATTTACACGGATGTTGGCCCCTGGGATGGACCCGGTTTTGGTGCCCTATGCATTACACAAAAATATTTTTTACTAATGCAAAGTACAGTACATTAATACACAGTCCTTTATATCTTCAAGTAGGAACTGATGCATAGTAGGTTTAAAATATAGTTCCCAAGGAAATAAACTATAATATCATAATTTTCAAATACTTGAATATTGGTTATAGCCATAAAAATCGCCAAATATTAATGCAACTCCACTAATGTTGGGTTGGGATTTTTATATGAAATACAGTGCATGAAAACACACGTGTTTAAAAAGAAAAGCCCCCAAATATTGCATCTTAGCAGTTCTTTGTGGTTACAAAAATGTATGCAATTTATTTTTAAAAAAAAATCTAAAATATTTTAATATATATATAGCAAATATTTAATTGTAACATAGAGGCAGGTGTGAACCCATTAACTTTTGGCATTGCTGCCAGTTTGTTATGTCGGTTTTTAATATATTTTTTTCTCCATTAATAATTAACAGCTTAATTTCAAAACTGCATTTTGTGTGTTGCTTTTGGTTAATATTTAAACTGGTTTGATGCTCTGAAACACTGAAGTCTGATAAGCGTGCAAAAAATAAAAAGAGGAAATCAGGAAGTAGACAAACACTTTCACAACACTGTAAGGTCTGGTGCTCCCATCTGCTCTGAGATGTTAATTCAGAGATGTTGTGTGTTAGTTCAGGCTCTGTAAATCCAGATTTGTCTCGTGGAGAGTTTTAAATACATTTCTGTGAGACATTTTAAAAAGCGTTTATTTTACTTTCACCTAAAAAAAATAAAAAGGCTAGTGCCTTTTTATTTTTTTTTTCTACTATCATATAAGATCCCATGAATATATATAAATATTTGGTATAACGTGACGAAATGTGGAGAGGTTCTAGAGGTGAGAACACCTTTTCATTGCCGTTTATTTTGCAGGAATTAACTTCTGTAAAAAGAAACTAATTCAGCCGAATGTAGCTACACTATTTTTGCACAACAACGAGTAAGGACTAAAGACACACCAGTAGAAACTGGAAGTTTTCACACACCACATAAAGAGACTCATGCATTTTTCTTACACTGCTTAACGTGGAATCAGAATAAAATTTTCCCGTTTTAGGTCAATTAGGATTGCCCAATTTTTTTTTCTTATTTGCTAAATGCCAGAATAATTTTGTAATTTGGTTCAAATCCCCCAAACTCCAAAGGATAAAGCGACCACCGGGAAAACGAAAGGTATGCCAAGCGTGCTTATTGTTGGAGATGAAGCAGTAAATGGAATCAGCCACGTTTGCAATGCCAAGAAAACGAGAGAGATTTCTTTTCCTGGTGACACTGTGTCTGATTTAACTCACAAAGTGCTCTCCCTAACCACTGATCAGCCAAATATTGAGACTTTAGTTGTGCATGTTGGAGCCAACGATCTGGCAAAGCAAAAATTGGAGATTCTGAAAAAGGACTTTAATAATCTTCTGAACACTATGGGGAACATTAAAAATGAAGTTATTTCCCAGCGGTCCAATTCCATCACCTCAATGGGGAGACGAAAAGCACTCCAGGCTGCTCATGATAAACAAATGGCTGATTAAAACCTGCTCTGCCAGCTCAGTGACCTTCATCGATAACCTCTGGATCTATTGGCAGCGCTTTCACCTCTTTGGAAGAGGCGGACGCAATCTTAACAAACACGGGATAAGGCTGCTCACTGCAAACGTTTTTCATTTTATCAACAAGAACAATGTGACCATTGCTTCAGAGGAACAGGTTCAAGGATGTCTGACTACGATGGAACCCTCCGCGTATCAAGAACAAACTATCCCAAAACAAACTGATAAAACATCGACTGGGGACAGAACGACTGGTTCCCCTCCTCCCTCCACTCATTCGCTGCATTCACAAGATGCCTATGAAGAAATGTCTTCCGGGCCAGAGTTTCTCAGATTTACAGATGGTATGGATCGACAGGCTCGCCTCGGCACATCTCTCCTTAGCGCTAACAGCAGACCTCATTTCATCTAAGCCTGACTTCCCAGAGGATCCAGCACTCTGCGTTTCTGAGGTCTGAGCCCGGGGTCCAGATGTTATCTTTACACCCGACTTCCTCCAGAATGTGTCTGGTCCCCCGGCACTGCAAAGCAGGACATGACCTGTCCGGATCACTACAAGAAAAGTTACAAGAAACAGAAATGTAAAAAACAGCGTTCTCAATTCAAACCTCAGACTGATCCGCCGCCTAAAGGAACCTCAGACTGAAGAACTTTCAGCCTCCAAGTCACTTAAACTGGCTCTTTTAAACACCAGATCTCTCTGTGCTAAAGCTCTATTAATTAATGATTTCATCACCGAGCATAATATTGATGTTTTATTTCTGACAGAAACATGGCTGAATGACAATAATGAACCAACCATACTAATTGAATCAGCGCCTCCTACATACAATTTTTTAAGTGAGAATATAAAACATAAAAAAGGAGGAGGCGTGGCTTAAATTTTTAAGAATACCGTGAACTGTAGTAAAATCTCTTTGGGTCATTTCACGTCTTTTGAGTATCTGGGAATTGAGGTAAAAGGCCACAAACGAACTTTGACACCAACTTTATACAAAACTGCAACATGCGTGGAAAATTTATTTACGGACTTGAATGAGCTTCTATCTCTCATATGCATTGATTACGATTGTTTGATAATTGTCGGTGATTTCAATATTCATGTTGACAACCCCCAAGACCGAGGGGCAAAAAAGCTGTTTAATATATTAGAGAGTTTTGGTTTAACACAACATGTCAAACAAGCAACACACACTCATGGACACACACTCATGGACACACACTGGACCTGGTTATCAGTGAGGATGTGAATATTTCCAATGTTTCTGTAACTGATGTCGCCTGTCGGATCACTTCCTGTTATTTTTGAAAGGTCTTTATCCGTCAACCCACTTGGACAAACAGCTACTGTCACAAAACTTTCTTTCACAGAAAACACAGCAGAAACATTTAATCAAATCTACTCTTCTTCCTTGCCCTTGAGCAGTATTGATGCAGATAAGTTGGTAGATGTTTTTCAGTCTAAAGTTTCAGATGTCACTGATCACATTGCTCCCATTAAAGTGAAGGTTGTGTCTGGTAGAAAGAAATCTCCATGGAGAAATGCACAAACAGTTCAATCTGCGAGACGACTCTGATTTAAAGATCGGTAATCGTCCAGAAAACTGCAATCGGTGCAGTTTTGGCGACAGCTAAAGCTAGTGGTTTTAGCTGTCGCCATTTCTGTGGTTAAAAACGGAGGATGATTTTCAACGTGCATAATCTTTATAGCATGTTTACATTTTTTGCTTTCGCTTTCCTCATTTCACAATTGCCTTTTTCTGTATGTTGAAGTAAGCGCATTTTGCATTTGAAAACCTGGAAACACGTCTTGACAACTAAACGGCCTCGAGGAATGTTTGCAGTTCTCCCATTGGACAGAAAGTGTCTCTGCAGGTTCATTCAAATCCCAGAGTAAACTCTCGAGGGCCGACTGCAAACCCGAAACCATTGACCTAATTTAGCACAATCAGCCAAAAGGCCATTCATTGTTCTTTTGGAAGCAGGTGAAAGACTCGTTCTGACCAGCAGGTTGCAAATTGATGAGCTCTTTGAGAACAGGGCAGCTCATTCCAGTTCCTTGTTTTATTATGCAGGAAGCGGGTGGAATAACCGCAGAGCTTAACTTTAAGAGACTCCAACGTTGGGACAAAGGTTGTTGCATAATCACCCTCGCATTAAAACCTGCTGATCTGGCGTTTGAAAGCTTTTCTCTTATGACCGAGCAAGTCGCTGAGGTGTTGTCAGCAAACTCCGCTGATATCCTCCCGGTTTAACGAGCGACCCTTCGGCTGTTTATACGCTCCCATCAGAAGGCCGGTGACTCGGAGGCATAAAGAAAGCGAATCGTACGGGATCACTCAAATTCAAGCGACAGTTTGACACAGTGCAAAAATGAAAGCCCACCCTCCAATCTGCTTATTGCTCATTTTTCATGTGACCGGTTTTAATTTACCACATAGCAGGTGCGATTGTTATGGGGATTTTTGTGATTAATTCACACCCCAGAAATGCTTTGAGTCTCTTGTTTATTCGGTACAAAGCGCAAAACGTTTGGTGTACTTTGCTAATGACTAAGAAGAAGTTTAAGATGACTTATTCTGAAATAAATGCACTTTCTAAATGGATTTGAATTGCTTTACTGATTGGAGTTGTTTTGTGAAAGGCCAACAAAAAACAGTGAAAAAATTCAAAATGTTTTACATGACAGATATCTAATATTTGAATCAATTTTCTTGTCTGTAAATCTATAAAATGGTGTAGGTATGTCACATAAAACCTATTAAAATTCAGTGTTGTGCTTGAAACATTAGAAATTCGAAGGGAAATAAATTCCTCTCCACCCACTGATGGTGGCAATTAAATAATCAGATTACTTTATGATGTAGATGAGGGACAAAATGTACGCTGAGACTTGGAAACCGGTTTCAGTCGGATCAGGAAAGAATTTTAGGTTTCAACTAGACCAGTGAGGATAACACATTTTTCTGGACAATAAATTCCCCCAGAAGTGATTGAAATAAACGATAATGTTGTTTTGAGACCATTTTCAAGTAATATAATGGGATTAATTGATTTATTGCAACAGGCCTATTTTCAAATCTTTCCAGACTCATAGGCCCTTCACACATGGAGACTTTTTTTTTTTTTTTGGAAGGGATTAAGGAAAAAAAAAAAAAAAAAGTTTGTCCACTCGACAGGATGCAACACCGTAGAAAATGCGCCAATCGGTGGCGCTGTACGCTGCCACAGAGCGACACAAAAAACACAGAACAGCGCCGTGTTTATTTGAGAGAGACGCTTTCGGGATCGAGATGGAGTGACAGACAGAGATGGACGATATCATTGTTTAAAAAAAAGATGCAGCTCGCACGGAAACATGGAAACTGCGTTTTTAAATCTCTCCACTCTGGAACCTGGTTTCCAAAATGTTCATTTCTGGTCACAGAGATGCTGAATCCGTGTGGATTGAAATGACCAAAAACTTTGACGGACACCTAGAATCGTCTCTGTGTGGATGGAGCTTTGTGCACAAAGTTGGCACAATTGATTAAACCTTCTGGAAATATTTTATATTCAGTTATTCTGTCTTATACAAATCAGTTTCTACTTATCATGCAACTTTAAGCAGTTTACTGTACTGGAATCATGTTAGCATTTGAAAAACCTTTTTTTTTTTTTTTTTTTCTTTTTTACAAATGAAAAAGTAGAAATAAAACTGGAGACATTTCTTGGATATGTTGCTCAACAGACTATAACCACATCCTCTGCTAGTTGTGTAATTTCCTCCTTTAGATTCAGAGAACCACAATATTAAGAATCTAATGAGCGCTATGAAACTTGAATCCAGATGTTGATCATACTTTCTGTAAAACTAAAACCTTTTCCTCATTCCGTTGCTGCTGATTTGTTATTGAATTCCTGCATCTACGAAACTCCTACGAATCAAGCCTTTCATCCCTTTTTGTTTGATCGCGTTGCTTATTACATTAGAGAAATGATCTATCATTGGTCCCGATCAGCTTCGGGAGGAAGTGGTCAGATATCAAGAAGCTGACTCGCACAAAGTCGGTTCCTGGCTGTCTGTTGGACAATCAACGAAGTGACCAAATCCTCCATTTTAACATCTGCCTTAGTTTTGTTTTCTCAGCTCTCCTTTGTGTTTTGCTTTTAGGATGTTATCTCGGTTAAATGAGCTGATATGGGCCGACTGGATCTGGTTCCCAGAAGGCTACGGCTGGGACGACCTGAAGGATCATGATGGGAAAGTCTTCCCTAAAACTCGGGACCTGTGGGCGGTTCTCCCCGTCTCGCTCTGCTTCCTCATCATCAGACAGATATTTGAGCAGTGAGTCATTTTAATCTCCGTGGCTTTTTTTGTTTGCTTCTGAGGACTGTTAGATGTGACGCTAACTCTGCTTCTCTGCTCCGTAGGACAATAGCACTTCCTTTAGCGTCTCTGCTGGGAGTGAGAGACAAGCATCGTGACTGTGTGTCGCCTAATCCCGTCCTGGAGTCTCACTTCTGTAGCAAATCAAAACATCCCACACAGGTACTCCCACTGCAAACATCAGCGCTGAATTTATTCCCTGTTCTGAATGTTGGTTTAGTTCATTTATCCATCCAGAGGCTTTTCCACAATAATCATCCACCCATCTGTCTGTCTGTACATCCGTCTTTTCACCCATCCGTCAATTTGTTTGTCTATCCTTCTAGCTGTCCACCTATCTGTTTGTCCATCTGTCCTTCTGTCCAGGTGTCATCAGTCTGTCCTTCTGTCCAGGTGTCATCAGTCTGTCCTTCTGTCCAGTTGTCATCTGTTTGTCTATCTGTCATTCTGTCCAGTTGTCATCTGTTTGTCTATCTGTCCCTCTGTCCAGTTGTCATCTGTCTGTCCTTCTGTCCAGTTGTCATCTGTCTGTCCTTCTGTCCAGTTGTCATCTGTTTGTCCTTCTGTCCAGTTGTCATCTGTTTGTCCTTCTGTCCAGTTGTTATCTGTCTGTCCTTCTGTCCAGTTGTCATCTGTCTGTCCTTCTGTCCAGTTGTCATCTGTTTGTCCTTCTGTCCAG